GGAAAGAATTTCACAGACTTCTGTGGAAATTAAGATGGGATAAAATTAGTGATTAGGCCTTGATACAAATTTTATGTGTAGCATTTAATTTTATAACATTTTCTGTTCTGCCCTGAGTGTGTGAGTTCCAGTGGCTCTGCATCTTTGCCAGTTCCTGAAATTGTCTTTAAATTTCTGAGTATTCTCATGGGTGTGCAGTGTGTAATAGCTCATCGTGGTTTTAATTTCCATTTCCTTTGCTAAATTATGGTCAGCATCTTTTCACGTCCTTATTTGCCATGTTTATATCTTTGGAGCTATAATCATCTCTTTGGAGAAGTGTCTATTCAAATCTTTTGCCCATTAATTTTTCCCTCCAAATCACGTCTTATTGAGTTGTAAGTTTTTTTGTTTCTGTTTTTGTTTTTTTAAATTCTGGATACCATTTTTTAATCAAATATATGTTTTGCAAATATTTTCTCTGTGGCATGATTTTTCATTTTCTTACATTACCTTTTAAGAAACAGAAGTTTCAATTTTGATCAAGTCCAATTTATCAGTATTTTCTTTTATGGCTTGTGATTTTATGTCTTATCTGAAGAATCTTTTTTCTCTTTTCCTGCCTTTTGGGTTGAGGTTTTATAAAACGGTCATTTGTCTTCCATAGTTTCTGACAAGTCAATTGCTGTCATGTATCTTTTCTCCAGCCTGCTTTTCAGATTCTGTCACTGGTTGTCAGCGATTTCATTATCCTGCGTCTTTCTGTTTCTGCACGGAGACTGTCTTTCTTCATTGCGTGAGTTTCTTTCTTCAGACATTTCCCTCCTGTCTCTCCTCTCTCTGTCCTACATGCCTGCTGAAGAGCTTTTATTGCTGTGTTCCCAAGTTTGCGAGTCTTCTGCGCTGTTTAAACTGGTGTTAAATTTCCTCGTGCAGGGAATTTTTCATTTCAGATATATCTGTATCTATATCTATCTATCTATCTATCTATCTATCTATCTATCTATCTATCTATCTATATTTTATCCCAAGATGTTTTTTAAAATACCTTTCATCATATTTTCTCCTGCTTTTTTGGACATCGAGGGCATATTTGTAGTGGCCGTTTTAGTATCTTTAGCAGATTAGGTTTTATCATCTCTGTTGCTTCTGGTTCTGTTTCTGCTGATTCATTTCTCTCTTGGTTACAGGTGCTGACTCCCTGCTTCTTTGCAGTCTGCTCGCATCTGATTGGACGCTGGGCATCGTCGCTTTTATGTCGTTGCTGTAATTGGTTTTATTTCTTTGAAGTAGTGTTCGCTTTTCTTCCGGAATGCGGTTATTTGCCATCGGTTGGATCCTCTGTGTTTGCTCTTAAGTTTTGTCTAGGCTTTGAGTTGGGACAAATTTTCCAGTCTCCTTTTTTTAAATACATTCGGTCTGGTGGCCCATATAGGACAGTGACATTTTTCTGCTTGCTTCCGGTGGCCCTCGCCCCAGGCTTGGGGAGCTTCTTCTCACACGCATCAGCTGCGTACTCGGCCAGTACTTACGGGGACCGGCAGGTTTCGGGAGCCTTCTATCTGCAGCTCTAGTCTACAGCTCCCTCCTGCAGCACCCGCCGTGCAAATTCTCAGTGCGTGGGCCGCTAAACTCTAAACTCGGATTTGTTTCCTCCCTTAGCGAATCCCTCAGCTGGGCTCTGTTCCCCCTCCCTGTCCCGAGGCCTGGAAGCCACCCCCAGGCAGTGTGTTTGTGTGGGGGGGGGGGGGGGGCGGTGGACGGCAGGGCTCACCTTTTTTCGTTTGGGTCTCAGGCTTCACAGTCCCCTGCTGCCCGTCGTCCGATGTCTGGAAAACCATCGTCTCATACGTTTTGTCCAGTTTTTCAGTTACATAGGGTATGAGGGTAAATCTGGTACTTGCTACTCAATCTTGACTAAAAATGGAAGTCTTCTTGAACCATTTCCAAAAGGAGCGAGAGGTGAGAGGGGCGTGGAGGGGTCGGCGGGGGGGCGCTCTGTATTAGCCAGTTGCCGCCAGGGCAAACCTCTAAGTTTCTCTAGCTCATTGCTGTTGAAACCTTCACTAGAATGATTGGTAAAAACATTTGATGATAAAAACATTTTTGGAACAGTTAAATAAAGGGAGGTATGAGGTCGAGGCTCGTTGGCCAATAAAGTCCCAGGGGCACGTGTGAGCGTCCCACATGTGAGCGCCTGTGCCGAGCTCAGCCTGACCACCTCCAGGCCAGGCGGGTGAGGGCAAGAATCTCGTCGGGCAGCTCTCTAAAGGCCGTTTTGGATAAAATCGGACCAATTTTGCGAGCAATTAAAAACGTATTAGAATCTCTGCATTATTTTCACGGGAGGCGTGATACATTGCAGTTCCTTGAGACTTCTTGCAGAACTCAGTACTCTGATTTAGGGGTGTCCCCTGAGCTAGAGGCAGCTCTCTGGGTGATAAGTGGTGGTGACGTTTTCCATCAGGGCTTTTAGGAACTCTCCTACCCTTTTATTTCAGATCTCAGAAACTTTCTGAAGGTGTTAGGCACACTGGCTCCGACTCGATGTGGCTTCTGGCACATTAATAAGATGCTCCGCACTTAGCTTTCCATCACTGCTTCCGAGGAGGCAAATGAGCTGCAAGGAAGGTGAGCAGACAAGCTTACCGCTTTCTAAAGTCATGTTAAGCTCTACAGCACTAGAAATCTATTTAAATTCCCTGTCATTGCTTCTAAGATGCATTTCAAATCTGTTGTCATTGGTAAAATGCTCAGTCATTGGAGAACTGTTTTCGACTTGGTGTTTATATCTAAAATTTGCTAGTGAGACAAATCCTCTCGGTGCTGGAGCAAATTAATGTTTTGGCTTTTCAACAGAGTATCGATGTTAGGTTAGAGTTCATGGTTCCCTGGAGTCTCAGTCTTGTGGGACTTAGGAAGGCTGGCAGATGCCATACTTGTTCTCAGAAAGTCACGTTGTCTTGGTCACAGTTTTCCTCTAAATCCAATTTTTGGTTCTTTTAAATAACCGTTTTGTTAAGCCAAGTCTCTGTAATTCCATGTTACATAGATGTTGTCCCTTAATTTGAAAAGCAGAATCAACAGCTCGAATTCTTATTTTTAATCAGGGTGGGATTCACGTGTCCAGACCGTAATCGACCATGCAGCAGTCGACAGGGCAGGGTTCTGCCTGGCTCTGTGGGATGCAGTGACTGACCTCTGGATGGCGGTGGGCGGGTGGGGGCAGGGGAGTCTGCTCTGTGGAACACTGTCCCCTAAAAGCTTTTCTGAGGGGGAGGCTGATACGAACTGGCGATCTTAGACCAGTGCTTGCGATGGGAAATAAACTGCATAACGTCACGTGGGAAGATCCCAGAATAGTAAAGTGAGTGT